TAATTGAAGGTTCGAAAAACATGAAAGACAAGCACCTCACCTCTATTGTCAACGACTTTGACACCTTCACAACCGGTATATATATATATATATATATATATATATATATATATATATATATATATATATATATATATATATATAACAGAGAACCATAATTAATTAAGGAACCAATCGTGAGCATCGAAAATCATAACGATCAACAGTCAAGGAAATAGATGTACACTTTTACATTAGACGCACAAACACTGAATTATACCAAAAAATCTACCTTTTACAAAAAAAGAAGCCCACCACTTTTTTTCGTTTAAATTTTTTTTAGGCCATGTTTCTTATCAAAAAAAAAAAACCGAATATACCGTTGTTCACGATTTTTCGTCCTCTTTCCATAGAGATCCATGATGATATATATAAAAAACGAACTTTTTATTTAAAAAAAAACCACTTCAGTTTCTTTCATGAAAAAAGTTAAGGTCTATTTTTTATAGAAAAAAATTAATAAATATATCAAAATTCATATTTTTTTTTGTATTTTTTAAACATAGATTCATATTCATGTTAAAAAAAAAAACACGATATTTCAGTTCAGATTCATATTGTAAACTTGTTCAGATTCACATTGTGAACCTCCTCATATTCACAGTGTGTATAATAATAAATCAGATTCACAGTGTGAATCTGAATTGATCGGAGTTTTTTCACATTGTGAATGTTAAAATTTGAAATATTTATAGTTTAGATTCACAATGTGAATCTACACTAATCGAGATTTTTTTTGTGAATCTGAACTGTTCGAGATTTTTCATATTGTGAATGTTAAAAATTGAAATATTTACAGTTTAGATTCACATTGTGAATCTACACTGTTCGTGGTTTTTTTTAATCGGTGTTTGATGTTTATTAATAGAGTACAAAAAATTAATATTTTTGGTATGATTAGTTTTTTTTTTTTTTTTTTTTATAAAAAAAAAGCTTAAAATATTGAAAAAATAAAAATAAGAAAATTAAGTGGGTTTTATTCGAAAAAAAAGTTCGTTTTTTATATATATCATCATGAATCTCTATGGAAAGAGGACGAAAAATCGTGAACAACGGTATATTCGCATTTTTTTTTCGATAAAAAACTTGGTCTAAAAAAAATTTTAAATGAAAAAAAAGGAAGTGAGTTTTGTTATAATCCAATACATGTGCGTCCATTATAAAAATTTACAACCTTTCCATTTGCCGTTGATCGCTTTAAATTCTGACGCTTTGGATTGGTTCTTTGGTTCCTTGAATAATAATGATCTCTATTGAACTTTTCCATATATATATATATGGGGTTAGGTTAATGTGAGACGGCCTAATTTTGTGAGACCGTGAGACGCATTTTTTTTATTTTTTTTAAATTTTTTTAGTTAATTTAAGTTCCGAAAATAATATCTAAAAAAGAATTTTTTGATTTTTCCATTTATTTTGCATTTTAAAATTATTTTTAGAATATGTACAGTTAATATTATATTTAGAATATTTCACGTATTAAAAAAAAAATAGGATTTTTTTAATTTTTTTTAATTTTTTTTAGTTAATTCAAGTTCCGAAAATAATATTTAAAAAAAGAATTTTTAGATTTTTCCATTTATTTTGCATTTTAAAATTATTTTTTAGAATATATCAGTGTAATATTCTATTTATAATATTTTACGTATTTTTCAAAAAAAATAAACAGGATTTTATTTTATTTTATTTTATTTTTTTTAGTTTTTTTAGTTAACTCAAGTTCCGAAAATAATATTTAAAAAAAGAATTTTTGGATTTTTCCATTTATTTTGCATTTTAAAATTATTTTTAGATTTGGTCTCACGGTCTCACAAAATTAGAATGGTCTCAAATGAACTTGAATATATATATATATATATATATATATATATATATATATATATATATATATATATATATATATATATATATATTTGACATGCCATTTTACAATCTTCCTTGTCACTCTCTCAATTTCTACTCAACATCTTTTTATCTATCAAACGGCTTCAAACCAAATAAGTTTCTATATATATATATATATATATATATATATATATATATATATATATATATATATATATATATATATTTGACATGCCATTTTACAATCTTCCTTGTCACTCTCTCAATTTCTACTCAACATCTTTTTATCTATCAAACGGCTTCAAACCAAATAAGTTTCTTTACTTATCTTTGTATATAAATAAAGTATACTTTTTTTTTTTTCACAACTTAATTTTTCATTTTTGGCTATGTACTTCACAACTTGGAGTATTCCACAACTTTTAATATACTTTTCTCAAATGTGGTATTCAAAAGCTTTTTATGTTTTTCAAAAATAGATGTGTATAGAGGTTATAAAGTTGTTGAGAACATGCCGACTTTGGTACATAGTTGAAAATAAATATGTATTTCGTTAAAAACATATCCTTCAACTCATATATCACAAATTGGAAATGATTTTACAACTTTTATATGTCAAAATCTGTATATGTTTTTGTTACAAATTAGGATATATAGTTTGTTACAAACATCCTATATTTGGTAGAGTTTAAAAACAACGTTAACGGCGCTAAACATATTTGGCAACCCATGACTATTTGGCCGCGTGTTGCGAAAAAAATCCACATGTTATGAAATATCTTTTTAATAAAAATGTTTGTATTTTTCGATTATTTGATATTACATGTTATTTTGCAAAAACTTCCACATGTTATGAAATATCTTTTTAATAAAAATGTTTGTATTTTTCGATTATTTGATATTACATGTTATTTTTCGATTATTTGATATTACATGTTATCTTGCAGGAGGTGGCATTCTAATAACAACTCCATAAATTTGACTAATTATATTGCTGAAGTTAAAAGTTATATCGTAAGGCTTTTTTTAAGACAACATGTTTGGCGTCGTGGTTGGATGCCTTTGGCCATTTTTAGGGACCCGCTACTTATCAATGTTGTCATCGTTTACTAGATCTAGTCAGATTAATCGACAACTGCCAACATATCTTCATTCACATTGGAGGTTATAATCTTCATTTTGGATTGAATGAGTTTTGTTTGATCATGAGATTTTGATTCTATTGTCTTCTTGCAACATATACTACCCATGGACGACTTAATAGTCGAGTATTTCATAGGGTTATTCACATCGGCCGGTAAATAACTCTTGCAACACATACTACCCATGGACGACTTAATAGTCGAATATTTCATAGGGTTATTCACATCGGCCGGTAAAGAACTCCTGCAACATATACTACCCATAGACGACTTAACAGTCAAGTATTTCATAGGATTATTCACATCAGCTGGTAAAGAATTACAATGATAGTTGAAATAGATGGTTACTAGAATAAATATTCATTGTTTACCATGTAAAAGTTAAGAGTTGACGTCATGATTTCTGAATGTCTTTCTAGAAAGAAGATAATTAATCATGTTGCTTAATTGAATCTCTTTTTTTTTTTTTTTTCTTTCTTCTAATAAAAAATTCTAATTTTGCCACTTGTTATTTTTTTATAATTTGTAATTTTTCTTTTCATACTCAAAAAATGACATGTGTCTTTTTATGATTTTACATTTAAATTTAAATCTTCTTCAAAATATTCTATTCCACGACAAGACTTGTACCATCATTCTCAAAGAATGAGGACAACATCTAATATCGATGGGTTAAAAGTCTTTTGTTACAATTATTTTCTATGTTATTTTAATTTATCAACTTTGTATTATATGGTTTATAACCTAATATAAATATAAATGACAAAAAATGACGGATCAAATTAATTGGGTGGAATTAGTTAGGTTGATTCCGCAGCACTTTTTCTAACCATAGTTTTTTTTTTGAATTCATAAAAAATAATATTTTAAACATGCTTTAGAAATTTATTAATAAATTAATAATGAGTTTTTTTAATAAAATGTGTATAAGCTTATAAACACCTGACTATATTTTACAAGACTTTGAACTTGTTTGTTTGTCTCCTTTTCAACTATTAAAATTTCTTTTTACCTAACCTCCCATTATCAAAAAGGTATAACTCAGATTGATGAATCTGAACTTCAAGTTCATTGGGTATATAATCCATTAGGAAGGGTCTCACGAGGAAGAAATTATCCGCAACATAAAAGCATGATGGTTAAAATGGAGAACAACTTAAGTTTTACGCGATAAGAAAGTTACAGAAACCAAGAAATGAATTTTATAGTGACAGCAATGACAAAGTTGTGTATGGCTCTAAATAACAGCTAATTGAGAAAGGCATGAGAAGAAGACAAAAGCCATGGAAATGAAGACATGTTGGTGGACACGTGGCAGAACTTTGTTAGGGATGGTACTGAACACCACAATCACAAGTTCACTCAGAGTGTCATCAATCACCGAAAAAGTAAGGGAAGGGAAATTGCGATCTTTAGACATCCATAGGAGACAACCAACAACCACTATTAGGAGTAAGGAGACCATACTTGTCGATGGTACGAGGATGAGAGGATGTTAGAAAAAAAACAGAATGATAGTATCATTTTAAACTTATGAAGTTGGCTCTTTACGAGGATACGATCATTGACACTCTTACCGCCTTATATGCTTCCTGCTATATAGGTAGTATATGTTTTTTGTTGTGTGTACTCATGGAGTATTTACAAGCTCACTCATGGTCATCTTTATTTTCAATTTTATTGCTTGGATGTCTTTTTTTTTTTTAATCACACAATTGTAGTTTATTTCTAATTGTGGGCCAAGTTTTCATTTGAAGGTAGGGCCCAAATTTCTTTATGTGTTGGAAGGAAGTATCTATAAAAGCAATTCCAAACGCCTACATCTTAGCTTTCCCTTGCCCATTCCTATAGGACTAAGAGGGTGTTATTGTTAATTTGTTAAATCGATCAATTTCCACATGTATAATTAAATTATCCCCACTTTAGGCAAACATTATTATTGTGAATGCCAATCAATGATGGTAATTCAAGTTTGTGATTTTAACAAGACTGGCATCAGCGACATTTTCATAAAACTGAATTCATTTAAACAAAATAATAATAAGCGAAATTTTTATTTACTCAACTAGTCCTCCTCCTTTGTTTATTCTCTAGAAAATGAGGCGAAGCCAATGAAGCCTAAGCCTAATTAGTAAAAAACGAAAAGGATTGTTCTTAAGTTTTAGTAAAATTTTACATGGTAAAGACGAATAAACCATTCTACTAACCATCTACTTATATAGTTATATTGGTACTCTGAACAAGCTCCAAATGTGTTTAGATTGAACTGTTGTGGGTTGCCTTGTCTTCTTTGACCACCTGGTAAATTTCAACAACAAAAATAGAGATTATTTGAACAAGTACCAACAGTGTGTATGTAGAAATTTAGCAGATAATAATAAAATAAAATAAAAAATGTTGTAAAAAGGAGTGAGACGTACCGTGGGTCTTTGAGCAGCTAGTCTTCTGGTTGAGGGTGCTCGGGCAACAACTGAAGCAGCAGCTGCAGCAGCCACCCGTATCCTGAAACATTTAGTAATGACAATGTAAGTTTTAGAGTAGTTTAATTAGACTGACTAGAAATGTCAAAGTAAGAATTAGATACACTCACCTTTTATGTACATCTATATATACATCAGTTTCATCAACAATTTCCTCCTGCAGCACAACAGCCAGAGAGAGAGAGAGAGAAACTGTTTTAGTTTAGCTACTGGGGAATAAAAAACATGGACCAAAATAATTAAGACAAAGGAACGATGAGCAAGATACTTGTAGAAGCTCTTCAAAAACATCTTCGAGTGTGATGATGCCAATGACTTCTCCTTCTTCGACATCATCAGTCAGACATGCTATACTTTTTGCTGCATGCTGCATGGTTGACTTCAAAGTCTTGTCAATATCGACCACAAAATCCGATTCTTCTTTAAGTTCGGACAACAATGGTTTAGTCAGTTGCGAATATTTGTTCCCATTTTTCGCAACTAATTTATCAGTAGCCGGAGGAGGAGGAGAAGGAGGAGGGTCTTTGCTTTTGACTCGGACCACAGCCGCCATATGACTGCCACCTTTTTGAAACTGGTTAAGGATGTCATACAATGGCATGTCTGCTGGAACCCTGGAGCATAAAAATATATCATGAATAAGAAAAAAAAAAAAAAAAAAAAAAAAAAGTGAAATACACTTGCCTTGGGATTTTCCTAATGGAAACAGCACTAACTGGAGTCTCTGTTTCTGCTCTAACAGTAAGAAGGCTTTTCACCTATTAGGTGAAAATGAAAAAGGAAACCCAGCTTTAGAGGCTTTTACAAATTACAACAACCGATGCCAATATAACAAGTTAGAAGATTTGGGAGTGTGTGGATTTACCAGTAGGAGTCCGATGATGTTCCTAGGGTTCCCAGAATAGACAGGAACACGGCTATGGCCTTTGGCAAGAATTTTCCCAATTGCTTCCCTACACGATATCAAGTACATGTAAATCAACAGAGTGTCACAACAAACATGAAATATAAATCTTTTAGACATGCTATTGCTAACTAATAAGAATTAACAAGAAACATGGGAGACTTGGCAGTGGAGCTCACCAGTCCAATTTTGAATTGACATCCAGTGAGAATGTTGATTCAATAGGTGTCATGGCCTCCTCTGCAGTCTGCACATATTCTTATATGTTACATTCATGTCATGTCATGTCATCATCCTATTAAACAGATACATCCGAATAAATCAAATACTTAGGGTAATGTTGTACTAATTTTCATGGGGTATATTTATTTGAGCTAAGCATGCATTATGTGCTAACAAGAATACAATGAAATATTAGGATTTTAATAAAAGTAGCTTTCAGTGGTGCCATGGATATCAGCCAAAAAGAAGAAAGAAATGGAGATACCGCTAACTACAACCAAATTGCTCAAAACAAGATAATACAAATCACCATATATATATATACATATATTGCTGAAGGATAGCCTTGTCTAAAGAGGTTGCCTATTTATAAGTAAATAAAGTACTATAAATAAAATAATAATAATAATAATAATAATAATAATAATAATAATAAGTGTTACAGTGATATATTTCCCGCAAAGTATACCTTTTCTGTCAAATCAAGTGCTCCACTTATGATGGTAGTCTCATCATGTGTAAGTTCACCCCCTTTACCAGCCTATAAGGATTTTTCAAGAGAAACAACAAAAGGGAAGAGTACAAGTTATAGAAGATAAAACATGCTGGATTTTCATGACTTGCAATCATATTCATATCTCTTAGCTGTGTGCAAATGTAGGCATAATGCATATGCCAATGTTTAGCTTTGTGCAACAAATGAAGGTTTACCTCTTGGCCATGAATGGATACAAGGGCTTTCAACTGGGCCCGCCGAAACAGAGCATCATTATGCCCGATTAAAGCATCCAAAACCTGCAAATGTGTCAGCTTTATTAATTTCTATATGCTGCATTTGTCATAGAAAACTCAAATGGCTTTAGATAGAATAAATTAACTAGTAACTACTATATAAAAACTCAGAGAAACAGGGATCTTATCAATCACAGCACCACTTTAGAAATTACCTTTCCAACAGGATAAGCAATAGGATAACAAATGATCATCAAAAATCGGACAAGCCCCACAAAATTAGCACCCACAGCAAGCCCATATCTTGTTGATATTGCTTGTGGAATTACCTGGTATATTATAATACTTTAGTCTTCATCATGTAAAATATCTTATTGTAGCAAAAAGGAATATCATACAATACCAATAGCTAGTTACATACCTCTCCAAATATCAACACAAAGGTCACTGACAACAACACTGCAACAGCTGGATGAAAAATCTTATCCAGGTAAATAGGAAGAGCCTGCAGGGAGTAAGCGTTACAACTTAGAATTGTAATCAGTCACTATTAATATACACAGGTATAAACATCACAATAAATGTGAAGCCTATAAGTTGTACATTGAATAACAAAGTTCACAATTTTCAAAAATTTATGTTCATATAACATTTACACTTCCGACTCTTTATGCAAATAAATCATCAAATACAGCAGCATAGAAACTAGAGACACTTTTTTACCAGTTTTCTTTCAATAACATGATAATTAAAATTCCATCTCATAAAAAACTTAAAAGATACTTAAACAACAAAATGAAAAGATGCTATCCCATTAATGGACAAGCTAAAACATTCACTCCTAGTGGAAATGTAGTATCAAATGACTGGTGCATATGCAGATAAATTTGTAGAATAGTTATATTTGAAACATAGATACAAACAATGATCAAACTTGCTATCATCAAAGAGAAAAAAAAAAAAAAAGCATTAGATATGAACTCACCTCCATGGCTGCAGCATTACACAGAAGCAGTGTTACAAGAAGCTGGTGTTGCTTTTGGACAACCGGGAGGATAGCAGCTGTGAGGGAAGCAAATATTTAATGGAATTTTCTGACCAAATAAAATGAAAGCAAGCACAGTTTTTTTTATGTTTATAAGAATATACTTTGTAACCAAGAGTAACATAGTATTCATTCAAGCTGCAATGGTTAATTCTTGCAAGCCTCTTGCATACCACACAACTAAACAATTTCATGAATCAACCATAAATCTAACAGAAATATTCAAGTTCTAATTTCTGGCTATGGCATCTAGAGTTCACTAAACGACAACTGATCCCAAAACAAAGGCTGGATTGAAATTTCCATCCTCTATATATCGAACCGAAGAATTCTCATTTGGCTAATTTTGGAGATTTGATGAACACCTATCATTTAAATTTAATATTAAAAAAAAAAAACAAAAAATCAAGTTCTCTACCTAACACACAACCGAGTTTGGTAGACTTGTTAGAAGAGATTTAGCAATATAAGATGGAACAATTTTTTCACAGTTCAATCAAAACTCAAAAGGACTCGGTCAAAATTGAAACGCAACCAATAAATTAATGGTACCTGCTTGTTTCTTCTCTTTGTTGGTACCACTCCTATGAAGAATCTCAAGCTCAACAACTCCCAAAGACATCAGTCCCAAGGTTAAACCGGACATGATCCCCGCAAATAGTACAAGAATACACGAAACTCCGGCATAAACAAACCACCAAGGGTCTCCGAACTCAATATCGTTTGAATCAGTGACTATAGACCTCCTCGAAAGTCCGGCACCGGCGGCTAGGGCAAGGGTTAATGTATTCATAATTGTCCTCGTTTCAGATTCTGCGAGAGCCACGACACGAGGTTTAAGGACCAAGAAGAAGAGACAAAGAGGAGACCTGCGTTTGAGAGAAATGGAGGCAACACATGGCTTAAAACCTCGATGAACCGGTGCACTCCGAACCGCGAAAGGCGGGCCAGTCCTACTGGCTCTTTTTGAAAGTTTTCTACGTATATTTAATTATCGTTAATTATTGTTAAAATACTATTTATAATCCAAACCCAAAGGTTTCTTACTTTACTTTCTACCCGGGGATAATGACTTAGGAGGGTAATAAGGTTTTCAGTTTGTCTGTATTAGGTCACTAAGGTTTTTTTTTTTTGTGCGTATTAAACCAATATGGTTGTTATTACCGTTTGGAAATAATCTTTTTACCGGTTTTAACAGGTAAAAAGGACTATTTCTAAACGGTAATAACAACCATATTAGTCTAATACGTACAAAAAAAAACCTTAGTGACCTAATACGGACAAACTGGAAACCTTATTACCCTCCTAAGTCATTAACCCTAATTTTAAAGACATTAAGAATATATGACCATCAACAGTAAACAAGTTCGTTTAGAACTCACGTCGTCCTATATAACCTGCTATTCCTCTATATGGCGAAGCTCTTCATCTATAGTCGTCCCTTTGGGGACATCCGATAAAATTGGAACGATACAGAGAAGATTAGCATGGCCCCTGCGCAAGGATGACACACATAAATCGAGAAATGGTCCAAAAAATTTTTTAACCCTTCGTCGTCTTCTCTGGAACCCTAATTCTCTTTTCAAATGCTAATAGAGTTCAATTGCAATTCTTACGTTTCAGTAGTTCATCTACTGAAGTCATGATCTTACAATATGTGGATTCTATAGTCAGATTGATCTTCTTGTTGATGTTCTCAACCATTTGTGGCAAGTAAGGCTGATCATTCTTTCTATAAAGTCTTCTTTAAGTTTTTTACTTTTCCTGTCATTAAGTTTCATGCTTTATAAACTTCCGTTTATGTGTTGTATATAGTATGTATGTGTTTTTTTATGTGCATATTTTTTTATTCATTTTGCAACTTCAGTTTCTTAGTTCATATTAAGGTTTTTCTTTTTATAAAATAATTGATAATAGACATCCTCTGCAAGTCCTTATTGGTTTTACATTTCCATTCGTTATCAAATGTAGACATTGATGGGAGGTATCAAAGTGAGATTGTTTTTGTACATATGGATGTGTTCATGTAAGCATTTAAATGACAAAAAAGAAGTTATTAATAAAATGTTGCATATTTATGTAATGAAGATCATCAATCATATGAGGTTTTGGACTTAGAAGTTCTGGAAGGGTTGTGAGATAAGTTTAAATGGAAGCAACTATTTTCAGCCAAACAAATCAGTCGCATTGATTAGTAAGCATGTTTTCTAAATAATTAGGGTTAATGACTCAGGAGGGTAATAAGGTTTTCAGTTTGTCCGTATTAAGCCACTAAGGTTTTTTTTTTGTGCGTATTAGACCAATATGGTTGTTATTACCGTTTAGAAATAGTCCTTTTACCGGTTAAAATCGGTAAAAGGACTATTTCTAAACGGTAATAACAACCATATTGGTCTAATACGCACAAAAAAAAAACCTTAGTGGCCTAATACGGACAAACTGAAAACCTTATTACCCTCCTAAGTCATTATTCCTTCTACCTGATGTTAGCAATGACTTCAGCCGCGAACCTATAACCTATAACAGGATGTCGACAGTAACACACGTAATTTTACAGATAGAATGTCAACAAATTACACTGTAATAGAAATATTGAAAGATAGCAATCTATTAGGTTCCACCCTAAGTGGATTCTTTTTTAGTTTTTGTGGGTCAAAAGTCTTTTTTTAAAACAACTTTTTGTAAAAATTGTCTTTTTAACCAATCCCTTTTTAAAATGTGTTTTATTAGTTTTTGGAGGGAAAAAAGCTTTGTAAAAGTTGTCTTTTTAATCAATCCCTTTTTAAAATGTGTTTTATTAGCTTTTGAAGGGAAAAAAACAAAAATTAATGTGTTTGGTGTAATTTTTACATATAAAATGACTAATAATGATATGTTTTTATATTTACATTGATTTACTACTTTACATATATTATTTTATGCTTCAAATTTTTTTTAAACACATATTATAATTTTATAAACATTTTATTAGAAAATATAAAATATAAATTTCTTTTAAAATATTTCTAATTTTTTGGATTAGAGCATGACAATATTAAAATTGCTAAGTTCATACAACTTGTAAATAATTCATAAGATAGCTTTTTGTATTAGACCATGACAAGATTAAAATTACGTTCATACAAATTAAAATATTTCTATTTTTTTTTTTGGATTAGACCATGCCAATATTAAAATTACGTTCATACAAATTGTAAATAATTCATAAAAAAATATCATAGATAATATTACATTCATCTTCGCAATGTGATTATATCTTGTGCAATAATATCCGTATCGCTGCCATATATAAATCATCATCGCTCGTGCGATGTGTACTTGGACCTTCTTCATAAACATCACTACCACTATCACCTCATACGGGATTGTAGGATTCTTGTTGTGCCATATTAAACGCTTTATCAGACCTACAAACCTTTCTAATGTAGTTATGGATCGCCATCGATGCTATCACAATTCTCACTTGGTTCTTGTACTTGTAATTAACATGCATGTCTCTTAATAACGCTCACCTAGCTTTCCACACTCCAAAAGTTCGTTCAATGATATTTCGCAATGATGAGTGGAGATAGTTAAATTTCTCTTTCGGTCCACGAGGTTCACGAATAGCAGCTGTATGTCCACGTCGAAAATTTGGTAAATGATAACGAATATTTGTGCCTTTGTATGGAGCAAGATACCCTCTCGTATTTGGATATCCGGCATCACAACGTAATATTTATCTGTAAATAAAACAAACATTTATTAATCGTTTCAAACAAGTAGTAAAAACATAAAACTTGTGTTCCAAAAAAAAAAATACTAACCACCCGTTGGATAGGGAAAATTAAGATCTGGTCTATGTAAGGCTTCATTGAAAATTCTTGTATCATGTGCAGTCCCCTCCCAACAGGCCCAAACAAATGTAAAGCACATGATAAAATCACAAACAACCATTATATTTTGTGTTGCATATCCCTTTCGACCAATGTACTTCACTTCATCTTTTTGTGGAACCGATGCCCTAACGTGTGTCCCATCTATAGCACCAATGCAATCCTTCAAATTCAAAAATATATCATAAATACATTATTTGTTAAAGTTTGACTACCAAGAAAATAAAAATTGGATAATACCTTGAACAATGGATAATACCAAGGCTTATTTAATATATATTCGGGAACATCATCATTATATTTTGCGTCTGGCTTGATGATGTCGGCACTCAGTTTTAGCACGACTTCCAAAACTGTATAGAAATGCCTGTGAATCGTTATGATTAAAAATTTCTTGCACAAATCTATTGCTACACCCATGAGCCAAAGTCATCAAGAATATTCCTACAGACTCATCGATAGATACATTTCGTGTTTGTTGTAGCTTGTAATTTGTAGCAAGATATATGCATAACTATCTAAAAACCGGTACATTAAGTCTAAACATCTCATAACAACGTCTAGGATGGCCATTTAATACTTCAGTAATAAACATGTGCCATGTGCGGTCTGAAGTGTGACATGGCGTACGTAAGTTATGAGCGATTATTATCCCTTTCAAAGCTAATCCACATAACATTTCAAATTCTCTATCCTCTTCCACCCAACATTCTTCATTATCATTGGATGAATTAGAATCATCACTATCCATCCTACATAATACAAATAAAAAGAGGTCAACCATTAACACATAATATAAAATGTCAATTACATAAAGACAAACAAGAACATATAATATAAAATGTCAAATACATAATGTCAAAGGACAACACATAATGTCAAAACATAAAACATAATTTCAAAGCATAGCACATATTGTCAAGGGATAAAACATAAATGTCACAGCATAACACATATTGCTAAATCATTATTTCATAAGTAACTTAAGAAACTCCATCTTGGCTTCGTCGGTCGTTGGAAACATAAAAGCTTCCCGACTTTGCTTTTTGGTGAAGACAAACAATGCTTGTGGTAATTCGTTGGAACCTTCACGAAAATCGGGAAACTTGATGACAATGGCCATGCAATCTGCTATTGTTGGGGAAGGATTATTTTGTGGATAAGTTTGTGTGCTTTTTGATGATATGGCATCCAATAAAGCATCATCTTTTTCTTCATAAATTGAACTTTTATTCTTGGTTGTACGGTTGTTGGAAACAGACTTAGACCTCTTCCTTTTACTTTAACTACTTTCACGAAGACTAGGAAAAGATGCTCATCATCATCTAAATTGATTTCATCACTATCTCCTTTGCCCTCCATATTTTCTTCGTTTGGATTGCTATTGTTTTGAAATTGTAATGGACTCGTAGTCTGATCTCCAATGGCAACAGAATCCCGAAACAAAGTAACATATTTCTCATCAAATATACTCAAATATGTGTTCCTAAATTTGGCATAATCTTTATTCTACTGCAAGACAAAAAGATATTATAAATCAAATATGTTCAATCTATATGCAATCATAACTTAATATAATTAAAAAGAATAGTAATCATACCTTTATTTTCTCCTCCCACCACTCAGGCGATGCATCCACTAGGCTTCTCGTCCCACCGAGTCCGGTTTCAAACCTCATTAAGCGGTCATAAAGCTTCCACTTTTTTTTCATGTTCTCCTATTTGTTTGTTAGTTGTTTTTTTTCAAGGCTGTAACATGTTTTCTCCTTAATGCGTTTTTGTATATTTTCCCACCCAACTTTATCAAAGGAGGCAGTGGGTTTATGGCCTTTTTTTTTTCAATCAAGCACGAATCAACAAACACCATGAAGCTACGATTATCCCAAGCAAATTTTGGTTTTTTCATTTTCAAAGATGTTTCACAATCAACAATTGTAGTGCTGTTTTCATCCATTATCTGTGAATTACATATAGTATCAACATTTAAACAACAAACAAATTTCATTAACCTTCCTAAATGATTTCATAAATTTATTAAGATTATAATCAAAACAGAAAAACAGAATATCACAGAAATCGGTTACCTGTTAACACAAATATCATGAACAAAAAATTCCATCAGCTTCATATTTCATCAATTTCATTAATTATTAATCCATATTTTATCAAGTTCACTAATTATTAATCAATATTTCATCCCTATTTCATCAATTTCACAAAGGTATGTTAATCACAGAATATCACAAAATATCAATTTCAGAAATCGGAAGGAACAAATCATAGAATAATCAGTATTTTAGATGTGAGAGAGAAGAACAGTTCAAGGAAAATCGAAAAATTACATTTCTTTGCTACTGGAAATCGAAAATCGACAAAGATATTGTAAATCGAAGTTATTAATCGGAAATCGGCTGGAAAAGAAAACAAACTTACCTGATCGGAGATGGAGAAAGAAGATTGTCGATGTTGCAGCAAGATCGCCGGTGTGCAGGAACGATCGAACGAGATGCGAGAGAGTAGAAAGTGGGTGAGTGGAGAGAACGAGAGAGTAATGAGGGAACGTATTGTCTGTGAATTGATTAGGGGTAGATGGGGTTATAAATGTAATTTAATGTTTTTAGCTGGTGAAAAGTTAGGAAAAGTCACGATTCCGTGACTTGTCAAAAAGCTTGAATTTACTCTATAGCAAAAGTTGATTAAAAAATCATTTTCATTTTACCCAAACATCTTTTTGGACTTTTTCTAAAAGATAAAGTCAAAAGTTAGTTTAAAAGCCAATACAAACACCCTCTAAAATTATAATCTTTTTTTTAAACGGTGAGCAATAACATTAATAAAAAGTTGAAGCGAGAAGTTCAAACAATTACAAAAAGGAGTTTAGAATTAGAGATATACATCAATTAAACTAATCAATTTTACTAAGTTTTGATCTATTATGATTCCAAGTATATGTGTTGATACTAATGTCGCCGTTTATTCGTGAAGACAATCAGATTGCGGGTCTTCCATATAACCGTAAAGTTATGTACACAAGAGAGAGTCTCATTTTCTTCATTTTACTCCACGTGCGCATGAATGCACCGTATCAATCAACTACGAACAAGACAAAGGCATTCGAGCGATAACAAAAGACCACTCTAACAACCATTTCCACAAATCTGAAGCAATGTAACATGATAAGAAAGTATGATCCAGATCTTCCACCATGGAGTGACAAAAAGGTCATAATTTTGAATCCACCACAGTCTAGGGGTGAACATTCAGACCTTCAAATCGGGAACCGAACTTGGACTTGGACCTGGTAAGCCTCAATGGGTCGAGTCCAAGGTCTACAAATTTCTGCAAAACCAATCCGATCCAAGAATCGGTCAAGTCCAAACGCTTACCCCTATCGTGATCCCCTATTTAATAAGTTTGCATAAGTTGGAACTCTATTTTTAAACAACTGTCACATGAAACAATTCATCTTTAAGGGTATCCATTTGTTCGGGTTTGTCACAACCCCGGTCGATACGGCATAACATATCGGGTTGTGCGACTTTGTTCATGGATCACAAGCAATTTGATATATAGCATAAGTACAACAATAACAAAACAATAGTTGTATTTCATCTTGAAATTTGAATAGAAGGTTCTTACAGATAATAATATAGTAAATGAATTGTAACATCCCAAAAATGTTGGATTAGGTGTCTAAGCTCATAACTATAATTGCTATTTACTTGAATTGATAGTAGTAATGTCATTTTGGGTTGCCTTCAAACCTGACAAATGAATAGGATTATTGTTGGAGAGAGAAGAATGATTTATTAATTTATTACTTGGTTAGTAAATTAATTTATTAATGTATTATGGATATAATATATTAATTAAAAATCATATTGTTTAATTAATATTTAATCAGAAATTAATTTGGAATTAATTTTGGGATTAAAGGAATTAATTGAAATTGCAGGGACTAAAGGTGGCAACGTTCAATAGCTGAGCGTTGAGCATTCTAGAACCACCCTTAGGGAGGAGGGAGTCATTCCCTCCCAACCCAGTGAACCCACTGCCACATCACTTTTTCTCTTTTATTTTTCTTCATCTTTCCGAACCCACAACACATGGAAATCCTATCTTTTTGAACCCACTCATCCCACTCAATTAAAAAAAAACGATCAAATGTAAAATCTTAATTAGCAATAGAGTTACCGGCGATACCACTCCTGCTTCAACGAGTGGGTTGATTGGTTTCGCTAACCCACCTCATCATCTCTCTCTACTTTCTCTTTCTTATTTTCTCTTGTACCATGTGTTTTAAAATTTGTACCTTAGTTGTTTTGTATATTTTTTTTTAATTGAGTGGGTTGAGCGGGTTCAAAAAGATAGGATTTTCATGTGTTGTGGGTTCAGAAAGATGAAGAAAAATAAAAGAGAAAAATTGATGTGGCAGTGGGTTCGGTGGGTTGGGAGGGAACGACTCCCTCCTCCCTTAGAGATTTAAACATGACATTGAAAAGTTCAATAAATCTCAAAATATCTAGGAGTTTCAATTCATTTAAAACTTAAATTTCCTTTTCGTTTTTCATGGTGGAATTTGGTAAATCGTCATTTACCTACCTTCAAATGTTTTGCAATTTGGATTACGACATCCCTCTTCCAAATTGTAGAATATTGTGTTAGATCCTAGCCTTAATATCTCATTTGGGTGTTTTATTAAGGACTCAATCAACTAACTTGAATTTTCTCCCGTTTTGTAGATGTCTTATTCTAACTGCGGTCTTCCCAAATCCCTTGGAATAAGCTTTCCACATGAAGATGATATTCCGTGATTCGATCGAGGAACAAGAGATATTTACTCACTTCCTCCACCTCCTCCTATTGTTCTCCCTGGCCCACAAGTTCGAAGGCTTGAAAAGTTTAAGCTCACTCAAGCTCTTTTGGCAAGTAAACACGAAGAAGGAAAGTCAGTGTGTGCACACGTCTTAAAGATGAAGTCGCACATTGATAAGTTAAGAATGTTGGGAGTCGTTGTCTATGAGAAGCTGGTTGTGACTGGGTTCTTCAATCGCTTCCTGACTCATATAGTGAGTTCGTAAGAGAGTACTATACGATGGACCACAACGTGACCCTCATCGATCTCACCTATTTGCTTGTTGCTGCTAAATTAGAAATGATTTGGCGCACTGGAGAAGCAAAGTTGATTGGTAGATCTGCCTTCCAAACCTCCATGGACATAGGCAGTGGCAACGTAAAGCATGTCATGGTCAAAAAGTTTGACCATAAGAGAAAGGCAAAGTCTGAGATAGTTCTGTGTGCTATTACAAAAGAGTCAATTTGCTTTTATTGTCAAGAGAAGGGGTATTGGAGACGAAGCTGTCATGTCTACCTGAGAGATCTCAGAGATGGGAGAGTCAAGACGTATGTCTCTACTTCAGGTAAAATCCATTAACTAACTCTGTAAGTTCCTATTTTTTGATTCTTAATACATTATGTGATAAGATTACATTTTTTGATGTTTTGTAGAATCGAAAAAAAGGAAGCTTAAAGGAAGAAGTAAGCTGAGTCTGATCGCGAAGAAATGGATTTCGATCGCATGATTCGATGATCGGATTTTTGGAGTTGCTACTTTTAGATTTATGATAGATTGCTTAGGAATATGTAATAGCATAGTTTTTCATTTGAATTGCATAGTAAGGACAAGTTTTTCCACACCTTTTATAAATAAAATAATTTTTTTGTCTTATTTATTTATTTCCTTGCAATGGCATGTATGAAAAACTGTCGTTTGTGTATTTCTAGTTTTAGCAATGTTGAAATGGATGTGATTCTTAGTTAAGTTATTTGTGGAAATGTCGAGAATTTACCAAATAAGTAAAGATTTTTGTCTCCTGAGTTTCAATTGGAAAGAAACTTGGAATCATACAAATTGTATTGTATTATGAATGAGAACCTTCATATTTGGAAAATTAAGACTAATTCCTTGACAAAGAGTCAAGTGAAGGACTAGGAGAACTGGTACACAATGTTGTACGCTAGTCAAGTCCACCACAAAGAACAATAAGATTATTCGTCATGATTTACTAAAAGTCTAGTAAATGTGGTTATGCTTACAAGATTAAGTGTAATTCTGAATCATTGAAAAGTTTCAATGCATAACAGAAGAAATAAGAAGAATCAATTAGGCAGAAAGATAAAAGTTTCTCCTATCTAAGAAGAAGGGAGAGTACTTTTGTATCGTGTTTTATGATCGTCTTGTTGATTATGAAACCATATCACAATTAATCCTCTAAGGACATCTTAGTGCACTAGTATGGCTAAGAAGAGAAATCAGAAATTATTGAAATGGTTAAATCAAAAGGATGAATCATACTTCGTTCC